TCATGGTGAGTCATGTGACACAAATCTGACCTATGGCAAGTCACGTGACACAGATCTGACCAATGGCGAGTAACATGTCACAGATTTTGGTCATTGCTGAACATACTTTTTTTGTTATCACTGAGGGAATATCGCGTTACATAACATGTCTACTGATGATAGAGTGGCCAGTACACAACAGTAGTAGGGACTCTGGTTTTGGTGAATGGTTGGTTGAATAGGTTGTTGTGTGGGTTAGTGAATGGGTTGGTGAGTAGGATGGTAAGTGGGTTGTTGAGTGGGTTGTTGAATGGGTTGGTGAATGGGTTGGTTAGTGGGTTGTTGAATAGGGTTGTTGAGTGGGTTGTTGCGTGGATTGTTGTGTGGGTTAGTGAATGGGTTGTTGAGTGGGCTGTAGGATGGGTTGTTGATTGGGTTGTTGGATAGGTTGTTGATTGGGTTGTTGATTGGGTTGTTGAGTGGCTGTTGGATAAGCTGTCCAATTGCTTATTGAATGAAGTATTTTGTGAATGGAAGCTAGAGACTTTAAAGTAGTAATTACAGCTTAAACTTAATGATTGGACAGCATAGCCCGGCGGTTCAAATCTCTGGTTCGAATCCATCAACAGTTCCGTCATGTCAACGAGTACGTAGGACGTCTATGAGCCCACCCAGCTCTAATGGGTACCTGACTCACGTGAATCTACAGTTACGACATCTGGGTATAGAACTGAGCACGCCATCCCTTACTTTAGTCACAAAAGCAAGTGAACTCTTCTTCCTTTGCCTTATTGACAGTCAAGTTCTAATGGTAACTTTAGCACTAACTATGAGGGTAAAAATGTTGGATAAGCTGCAGTTTTAATATAGCAGCGGTAGCTTAATAGCTTAGGTTTTTAGTTGTTTTTTTAAAAAATCGCATATAAGAGAGCAGCTATAAATTATTTGTTTACTTTCTCTATCACGTCCACGCTCACGTAACCTACGAAGCTCCAGCATTGCATTATAGCCAAAACATGCCCAAGCTAGGGTCGCGAACTCGTGGCTTTCAGGTAGCGACTAAGCGTTCTAACCGCTAGACCACGCTGTTCCACACCGCCAAGACAATGTGATTGCAAGCCAACAATTCGTCATTTCGAAAACAATGTCAGGTTTTCGGCGTAATTTATTACACTTCTCTTTTTATTTAGCTTTTTTTCTTCGTGTGAACGATAAACTAGTTTTAAATGAAAGATATCGGATTTTTTTAATAAGCTTTTATATAATTTTATTTCTCGATCGTTCTTTTTCATGGATTAAATTTTGACCACTGCTATTCGACCAGTTTCTTTCAAACTTGACACGTGTGTCAAGACCCGATGATTATGATTCAGTGACTTCCTGTAGACTCAAACCCGGGATCTGAACTCAAGACGTTCGAGTTAGGAGTTGAACTCTTGAAACAGCTCACATTTTTTAGCGCAATTTCCATACTGGACAAATGCGATTATTAACTCGTCATTTCTGGTGATGGATGGATGTGTTTCCGCAGCTTTAAGTCGTATCTCCTCCTCAACGAAGCAATATCGAGGACTAGTTCCAAAAGCAAATATGTTAAGTAAATTCCGAGGATGATTGTGGGTCAAAAAAATTCCCGGAATTCCTTCCTGGATTTCCCGGAAAAGCCAAAAAACTCGAAAAAAATGCAGTTTTTGGCCCATATCTCGGCAACCAGACCACTTAGCGACTTGAAACATTTACCAAGCGATTCCTGTCATAATTTAGAACAATATTACCGAAGAAAGTTTTCAAAAATATCCTTTCGTTCGGTCACAAAAAATTAATTAAGAATTTTTAAACTGAGCATCGTGTAGGCCTAGGATGATATTTTTAATTTAAACTGAGCATCGTGTAGGCCTACTCGTTAAAATAAAACTAAGTTTATTTTTTACTTATTAATTTTTTGAATTATTAAAACTACTTGTGTTGCATTATTTATTTGCTGAATATATGATTTATCTCGATTTAAAATTGTTATAGATAACATAAGGAAATTGCGCTTAAATTGTCACTAGACTTTTTATTAACTTGTTTTAAATTTTAAAACACGACTGCTTAAAGTTTTTGAGTTTGGATCACGGACTAGAGTCTAGAGGACCTTCCTCGGTCTCATTGGCTCACGATATGAGAATAAAAAACTGCTTGGCGTAGACGTGACGACACTGTCTCCTTATTTATCGAGTTCACAGAAACAGATGAGCTCTACTTCATCTACCTTAAAGACTGTCAGGTATTAAAAGATAAACTTTATTTTTACTGTACGAGACGCAATTCAATTCTTCTTCAGTTGAAACGTTTTTTTTTTCCATTCTGCCCCCCCCCTCCCCACCCCGTATTCCAGTCTGCCACGTCACGTGATGAGTCACCTACGTCATCATGTCACACCACGTGACACGCCCCCAGCCACAGCGCCATGAAACGTCCTACCCAAGACGTATTCCTACACGTCCCATATTCTTATTTGACCCCCTCCCCCCCCCACACACACAATATCATCCATTCCCCCACCCTACGAGCTAAAAACATCCACCCACCGCCCACAAGCGCCACCTACACGGATGTCACTTTAACACATTTAAAACAATCTACATGTTTTTTGCATGTACTTGCATGTGATCGATCACCCCCCTCACCCCTCCCCCTCCCCTCCCTTATCAAATAAAGATTGATACACGGCCAATAGCATCCATCACCAGGCAAGCAAACACCGTCGTCTGTATGTCGCCTTGTACTAGCAAAACATGTCTTCATTCAAACGTCTGCCCACACACACTGAAAACCACACACCCCCCCCACACACACACAGACGCTCAATAACACACATCTCAAAACGTTAATCACCCCACCGCCACACACCTTCTCATTTACTAACCCTTACCCCGCGCACAAACACTCCAACACCCACACTTACTCTCCCTCATCCACACATCTACTTGCCCACCCACCTGCACCCACACACTCTCCCGCACCTCATACACACATAACCACAGATGTTCAACCACACACTAACAGCCACACGAAGCCGACAAACTGGAACATCTTCATGTTGTGTTGTACCTACTTTCCTACACACATACGCAGACACATCTATAAACAAACACACACACACACTTTCTTATTCACCCATATACACCCACACATCAACACACACACACACACCCAAACACCCACATGAAACCGACAAGCAGGACCAACATCTTCACGTGGCGTTTTACTATAAATACAATTCTTATTTCAACCAGTTTCTAACGCCCCCCCCCCCCTCCTGAACGAAGTGGAATTTATATAGAAAACATTATACATGTATACATAAATACGGAATAATGTTGTCCGCCCCCCCCCCCCCTCGAAAGTGTCAAGTGCCAACCAGCCCCGGATTAAAAAGTCTGGAAGAAACACTGAATTCAACATCTACCACACACCCATACACACCCACACACTCATCTACTTACCCACCCGCTCACACTCACACCTGCACGAAGCCAACACGCAGGACCAACAAAACATGTCTTAACTCAACATATACAACACACCCGCCAACCTCAGCAAATACACCTTTGAACTATTGAAGCCCACTGCCTTGTTTTTTGGTTTCTACTTACCCACCTACATACATATATATATATATATATATATATATATATATATATATATATACACACAAACACTAACACGCAGGACCAACAAGGCATGCCTTAATTCAACATCAACCACAACCAACAACCTCAGCAAAGACAATGTTGAACTAATGAAGCCCACTGCCTTGTTTTAAGGTTTCACACCTTAGTCTACCCCCTATCTGATCATAAGTTACACGTTTTTACAGCGCGGTGATTAAAACCATACCCCCCCCCCCCCCACACCACCACCAACGTAAGTCTTGAATTCATTACGTAATCAAAAAGTATCGAATAAAAAACATTAATATGACTATTTTTAGTATATCACAAGTCTAAGAATAATTCAACAAGGGACACAATCAACAGACAACATTTCCTCCGATAACGTCAACATGCACTTTATCCATATGTCGGGATTTGATTTGATATTCTGGTCAAAATAAGCCTGCAAGTCACCAGGCAGTGGGAGTGATGTCCTCTTATAGTGGGAGTTATGGCCCCCTGATTGTGGGAGTGATGTCCCCTCTGATTGTGGGAGTGATGTCCCCTGAAGTGGGAGTGATGTCCTCAGAAGTGGAGTGATGTCCCCTGAAGCATGTCCCCTGAGGTGGGAGTGATGTCCCCTGAAGTGGGAGTGATGTCCCCTGAGGTGGGAGTGATGTCCCCTGAAGTGGGAGTGATGTCCCCTGAAGTGGGAGTGATGTCCCATGAGGTGGGAGTGATGTCCCCTGAAGTGGGAGTGATGTCCCCTGAAGTGGGAGTGATGTCCCCTGAAGTGGGAGTGATGTCCCCTGATTGTGGGAGTGATGTAACCCCTGATTGTGGGAGTGATGTCCCCTGATTGTGGGAGTGATGTAACCCCTGATTGTGGGAGTGATGTCCCCTCAAGCATGTCCCCTGAGGTGGGAGTGATGTCCCCTGAAGTGGGAGTGATGTCCCCTGAAGTGGGAGTGATGTCCCCTGATTGTGGGAGTGATGTCCCCCTTACGTTGCCAGCCCCCCCCCCCCCCCTTCGCGATCTTCCAGTGATAATTCCCACATAATTTTACATTCTCTGACGATGTCATACCGCTATGCTGTGACGTCACTCCCACCCAACGAATTACCCCCGACTCTCTCTCTCATCTCTAGTTCCACCCCACCTTACCCTCCCAACAAACCTCCACCAACGACCTCCACCCCGCCCCCTCCTCCCACCACTTCAAAACCACCTCAACCAGTTACAAAACAAAATTCAAATCTCCACCCCCACTCTTTTAACCTTCCATATCCACCCACACCCACCCAATCCCCACCCCCGGGCTCACCCTCCCACCCCCACATGCTTACCTCCGCGGACACGCTCCCAGTGTTCCCCACCTCACCACTAGAGGGCGCCACCAGCCGTCTCCCTATATAGACGGCCACCAACAACCCTCCGTCGCCAACTTTTGCCTCCTGTCTCGCAGTGTTTCATTTTTCTAGGAACTTTTAAGACTTTAGACCCGGGAACTGCTTCCGTTTTTTTCAAAAAGAACTTTTGATAGGACATTCAGATAGAGAATTTTTTAGAAACTTTGTTAATGCACTAGAACTGGTAAGTTGCATTTGTTTTCTAGTTTTCTCAGAATTTTGTGTAAACCGGACTTTTAACTCGTGTGTCAATAAAAAAGGTTTCAAAACTTATCCTGCTTTATTCTAGGCAAGCCATCCTGTTTTATTTTTATAACGCTTAAAATTCTGGGAGTAACATTGCACATTTAAAGTGTACTATTGAATATTTAAAGTGTAAAATAGAACAGTTTGAGTATAAAACTGCACATTTAAAGTCTAAAACAGTACATCTAAAGTATAAAACTGTACTCTTAGCGTAGAAATCTTCCTAATTTAAGGCGTAAAAGAGCCTATAATTTAGTCTGCAAAAACTGCACATTTTGGGTGTAAAACTGCATATTTTGGCATTAAAACAGCATATGTTGGTGTAACCTGCACATATGGGTGTAGCCGTCACATATGAGTGTAGCCTGCATACTTACCATCTGATTCGACCTGTAGTTTCCCACCAACATTTCTATAGACACGTATATGGGCTAAAAAGGGGACATCACCTCAAGCCTAATTCTTGTTTTTTTTACATCATTTCGGCCTTTTGAGTAATGAAACTGAAATGAGAATATGAGTGCGGCTCTCTAAAAATGGTGTAGTAAAAACCTAATTGATAAGATGGCTAATCATATACAAGTGTTGTCGCTTCATGCCCTGCGTATGAATAGTAAAAGTGAATGGATTTAATAGTCGCTAGGCTCATGTAGTAAAGTTATTATGTTTCTGTGACACTGGATTTAATTAGTTAGTTTGGATAGTACAGTGTATCGCATATAATTAATTCCCCAATTTAGGATGGGTTTTATTTATAGCTGGGCGAGTAACGTTAAGGTTGCCAGCCTTTGAAGAGACAGTATTTAACATATTTTAGCGTAGAAAACATTATACTATTGCTACATCTTCTCAAAGTTCACATGAATCCTTTTTTTTTATTGACACATAGTTTTTATGATGAATTTAAAATCTCAGTTATTAGCCAAATTATTTAAATAAATTTGTTCATTTTTCATAACCATCCATTTTTTTCAAAGCAAGCAACGTAAGGTAATGCCCAACATAAGAGTATATTTACAAAATGCTATTTGTTAACTAATTAAACGTTTAAGTACCATTGGAGAGATGTTGACATAAAATATGAAACCTTAGCCATTGCAAATATTGGTTTTTGATGTATCATCATAATCTAACATAATTTTTCTCAGTAGTTTTACGTGGTTAGGTTACCATAATTGAATGATATCGCTGATAAATGTATGAAAGGATAAGCTTTAGGATAATGACCGAATCTTTAAGCAGAAAAGTCCAAACTGTTTTTTAAAGTATGATATCAGTTTACCCAATAAACCTGGCTTTTTTTTTTTAAACTATCCAGATGCACATCGTCTCTATATTATCAGCTCAGATCCAGCGGCTGAGAACGGCGAAACGAATTAATTATTGCATTCATCAATTACCTTTGATGTTCCAGCCATCGTTAATTACTCGAAAATTGTGTTCAGACACCAATTAAAATTTTATGCAAATCGTTTTTTAACCAGCTGTTAATCACCGGATGAAGTGGGAGTCGAACTCGCGTCCTTTGTTTGCGGGTTATACAATCTAAGTAAAATACAGCATTTTAATTCTTCTTCGTTCTTGATTGCAATATTGAACGTGATTTCCTCCTATACAATTAAGTATTACGTGTCAACTTGTTATGCGATATATAGGCTGTTTACTCCGAATTTTGTTCTTCTTTCTGGATTTGCTTCAATAGCCTATGTCAACCCAAGAATAATTTTCAGTGCAGCAGTTGTTTGACTTTGGAGTTGTCTCTCCTAGATGGGTTGCTTCCCCCTACTATCGAGTCTTATCTGCCCGGGTGTCCGAACTCGGGACTTATGGAGTTAGCAATAACACGCTCTACCCCCTACCACCCGCCCCCCATGCTGATAAATGTGGGAAAATATTTTTAAATGTTTGGTCAAGCCCCGATGTGGTACAATGTGGCTTAAAGTTTTTAATGTGACTAGTAATTTTAAGAGACGTATTCGAAAGGGGGGGGGGGCATTAACATTGTTTTGTTTTGTGGTGAAGTAGTAGGAAGGGGGGAGGTTAAAGTTTAATGTTGCAGTTGGAATGGTGGGGTTGATGGTGTGTGGGAGGGCGGGTGATGATGATGGTGGAGTGATGGTGAGTGTGATGGTGAGGGTAGAGTGATAGTGGGGTAACGTTGGGAACGATGGTCGACGTTATGGTGATGGTGGTGCTGGTGCTGGGGAGATGGTGTATAATGAAGTAATGGTGTGGGTTTAAGTGTGAGTGGTGGTGTGGGTTTTAGTGTGGGTGATGGCGGGGACGAGAGTTTAAACCTATATTCATACATGTACTCAGAGGTGGTGAGAGAGCTAAAGTAGCCCGTTCGTAAATTCGAAGTGGGTACATACGCATCTCACCGCTGTAAGCTGACGAAGACCTTTGGTCGAAACCTTCGCTGCCATAGTACACATAGGCAGGTGTATTGGGAAATTATGCGCTGAGTCATGGCATAATTGGGATCAGGAACTTCCATCCCATAATAGAGATGAAGGTTTAACGTGTTTTGTATACAACAGCTAAGTTTAGCACACAGGTTTAATATAAAGCAGCTGAGTTTAACGCACAGGTTAATTATATAAAACAGCTGTATTTAACGCACAGGTTCAATATAAAACAGCCTAGTTGAACGCACACGTTTAAATTATGAAAGAGTAGTGTGTGTTAAAGCACTTTTAAAATTTTAAACATCTGCGTTTAACGCACACGATTAATATGAAAAAAGCCGTGTTTGTTTTTTAAATTATAACTTAGTTTACTTAATAAAATGTTAATTCTAAAACATGTTGCATGTCTTCTTTCACTTTAAAAATGTGACACTTTTCTGTGAAGCCAAGAACTCGAGAACCGCTGGGGTTTTTTTTTAAACAAATTTAAAACTAACTAAATGCGTCATTAATTAGTCACCGTTTTAAACATTAATGCCGTATAAATCATTTAAATTGTCTGCCTGCACAAGATGCTTGCATTAATTAGGCTTTACATTAAAATATCGAGGCCGATGTAGCCAGGGTATGCTAAAAGATTGAATCCATCCATCGACTTATGTCCGCAAGTCTCCTCTCAAATACTTTGTCTTCATTTAGAGATTCGAGTTTTTAAATATTTTTTTTATCAACTCTTGGAGTTTGTGAGTCTGTTTTAGAGGTCAAAACGCAATTTGAATTTCGATTAGTGGTGTTATTTTTAAAAACACGCGTTGATGTGGTTTTATTGCCCATTTTTACGTATATTTTTGTAAAAATTGTAATTGTTATTTATGAATGGCAGTGTTTGTTGGCGTGCGAATAAATTGTTTTGAGAGTTTGGCCCTTCTTTTCTAAATAACATGCCGGATGGCTACGAATGTTAAAAAATGAAATCCTAAAGATTTAGAAAAAGTAAAGTTCCCTTTTCAGACATAACTATCAATAGGGCAGAATAGAATTTATGAAGGCTTTTGAAGGGATGGTGTGGTTAGCACTGTTCTCGGTCGTCTTTACTTTCTCCAAAGTTAGTTAGGTACATATCAGAGTTGGGTGGACTAAGGAAAGTCCTACAGACCAGTGGCGTAGCGAGGTCGGGTGTCACCCGGGGCGGCACTTAATGTTGTCATCCCCCAGAGGCGTAGCGACCCTTCCCGGGGACAAACTCGCAAAATTCGATATGCACACCCCCCCCCCGTCCTCAAACTTTCGATATGCTTCCCCCCCCCCCCTCAAAATTTCGATTTGCACACCCCCCCCCCCCCTCAAACTTTCCATTTGCACCTCTTAAAAGACTATTGAACACTCGAATTAATCACTTAATTAAGTGAAATTATCATTTTTCTCTATATATTTTGCTATTTTTTGCTTTGGTGTCACCCCCCTAAATGGTGTCACCCGGTGCGTTCTGCCCCCCCCCCCCCCCCTCGCCATGCCTCTGCTACAGACACTTGACTTTGGGATTCGAACTGGTGACACTACAATTCGACCAACAACACCCCAACCCCTAATATTTTGGCTCTACAATAATATTTTGTTTCGAATTACATTGCATTTGAATTTATTCAAATGGAATTGCATAGTTAACAATTCTTGAACCTAAACCTAATCTTAATTCTATTCAGAATCATCATCCTTCACCTATTTATATACACCTCCCTTAAAAGTTAAACGTGTACAATAACTTTACTTTTGTGGTAAGACTAATAGAAATTTTACTGTATAGATAACACTTAATAAGTTTACAACAAAATAATCAATTTAAACTAATTAGAAAATGTTGATTGCAAGTCTATTTCAACGTTTTCTGTTTTTATCTATTTTAGATAATGAGTTAGTTAAACTATCCTTTTTTTTCAAGTGTCAAATACCTAAACTTGACCAACAACATCGACACTGAATAAATTATATGTAATTTTACCTCAGTAACTTGAATAATAGCTAAATAAAATGTAGTTTTACTGTAGTAAATTTATCCGCTGAAACTGTAAAATTTGACTTAGGTTTAGTATATTTTAAAACACTGAATAAGTTAGAGAACAATGTTCCTTTAGGTAATTTAAAAAAGGTCATTGCTGCTTGATGTGAATAATTGGGCGAGTGTCGATGGTTGTTATAAATAAAGACTTCTCAATTTTTTGTTACAGATCAAGAATAGAGGCAAGATCTTGAAGACGCTGGGATTTTTAGACAAGTCAGAAGATATAGAGGTCGTGCCGCAACTACTAGCTACGTGAGTTGGTTGTGTTATGTTTTTGGTGGTAGATGGTGTTTGGTGGTTGAAAGTGTTTGGGGGTTAATTTTTGTTTGGGGGTAGGTTGATGGTGTTTGGTGGTTTAGGGTCTTTGGTGGTTGAGGGTGTTTGGTGGTTGAGGGATTTTGGTAGTTGGTTGATGGTGTTTGGTGGTTGATGGTGTTTGGAGGTTGTTTCTGTTATTGGTGGTTGTGTTGTCGGTGGTTGTTTCTGTTATTGGTGGTTGTTTGTGTTATACGTAGTTGTTCGTGATGTAAAACTATGGTGTCATGATGTGGTATATTTCTATTGTGTATTTTTTATCTTATGCTCTTATACGGTATTGTGTAGAGTAGGTTCTAGTGTGAGGAAAGAGGGGGGGGTGGTCGTCTTATGGTTTTATCAGGTGTGTTAAAAAAAGGGTTGGTGGAGACGTGTCTGGGAGAGAGAGAGAGAGAGTTCATGGTTTCCAACAAAAAAGTCCCTAGTTCGGTCCCCGGTTAGATGAGGCGCTTTAGTTGGAGACAGCAACCCATCTAGTGAAAAAAGCTCTAAAATCAAACAACTGCTGCCTTGCATTTAGTTCTTGGTTGGACAAAGGCCATGGAAGTAAAACCAGTCGCATAATATATTGATACTTAAATTGTGTTGAAGGAAATACCCTCCAATATAACAATATGAAAATTAAGAACGAAGAAATGATATGAGAGGTTGATTGGGGGGGGGGGGGGGGATGGGAGATGGGGGGATATTTGACAAAATTAGTCTGACATTTAGTCGTATTGCGAAATGTCATGATTGATTTTTATTTGTAAAAGAATGGAGGTACGCACATTTGGGGTAGTGTTGTTGTGGTCGCACAATATGGTCTAATTTGTGGTGTAGACGTTTTATTGTCATGTTCTTACACATGGCAAACTATACACCGATGGTGGTGTTTCTTTTTCTTTCTTAAAGCCACTTTCAACATGTTACAGTTTATATAAGACATTCCTTAATATCTCGAAACCTGAGACATAAACCAAAGTTCTGTCTTAAGATTAAAATCTGAATTATTAGCTAACACATATTGACTCGCTTAGGTTTTTATAGCGCGGTGTGGTCAGGGGGTAGAGCGCTTTATTGTTAACCCGAATGTCTCGAGTTTGGATCCATGCTCGATTACGTGGGACGTCAATGGGTTAACCCAGCTCTGATAGGAACCTAACCTATGTTAGGGCGAGTAAAGGTGACGTGGGAAAATTCAGATCCCTTCAAATGCCGAAATCACAAAATTAGATGGGCTCTACTGCATCTGCCCCACAGACCGCCAGATTCTAGATCCGTAAGAGTAATATCAATATTTTTTTATTATTTGGATCGAAAGACCAGACTGTATATTATTGTTTTAAAAATGACAAGATTACTATCTGATAAAAAAATTTTGGATATAAAATATTTTTTTATTTTAAATTATTCAATGTTTATGTCTACAAAGGCGTGTCGGAACGCTAAAATTCTGAAAATAAAAATCTAACAGAAGCAGACAATGAAATTTCTTACTTTAAAATATAAGAAAAAATATTCTGTTAAAAAAAGTCATTGATTTGCTAAGAGTAAAAAGGTCATTAATTTCGCATTGACCTAGGGTCAGAGATTAACAATATCAATTTGGCAGCAAGTTTTATCTCCCTTTTTTCTCTGGCTGGCTAACACAATCGATGGGTCCCTCAGGGGGAACAATCATGCTCCGAATCAACGCTCAGCTGAGGGGAGACTACTCGTGGGCTGTCTTAAAATATTTGACAGGCCAGGAACGATAACTCTTGTGTCGAGCAGATACAACACTGTGTGATGTAGGGGGGGGTGGGGTGAACTTTTGGAGGGGAGACAATTTTTTTATAGATTAACAAGGGACAGTTAAATATTTAAGTGCTCTTAACAATTAAAAGATATTATGTTGATTTTTTTGTGTCAGAAAAGAGCCATTTATATCTCCAAAAATTTCTTCTCATCCAAGTCTGTTTTATGGCTCTCTAGCTTGATGTGTTCTCAGTTTCAACATAAGTATCTTTAGAGGTTAAAATTTACTCGAGCGGCGTCTTTAGCTCCTGGTGTATCTGGCCCCGTGTCTTTAGTTCCATGAATCTTTAGCTCTTTTAGTCTTTAGTTTCATTAGTCTTTAGCTCCATGAATCTTTAGCTCCATAAATCGTTAACTCCATGAATCTTTATCCCCTGAATCTTTAGCTCCATAAATCTTTAGCTCCACGAATCTTCAGTTGATTGAGTCTTAAGCCCTATGTGTATTTAGCTCCATGTGTCTTAAGCTTGAATTGTCTTTAGATCCATGACTCTTTAGATCCACGTACAGTTAACTCGAAGTTTTTTTCGCTCAACTTGTAGTTAGATTCCTTTGTCTTTAGTTCCATCGGTTTTTAACTTGTCTTTAGTAAAATGTCTTAAGCTCCATGTGTTTCTACTTCCACGTATATTAAGCTGCATGTGTCTCTACCCCCGCGTGTCTTTAGCTCCATGTGTCTCTACCTTTGTGCGTCGTTCCCTCGTGTGTCTTGGCTAAATATATCTTTAGCTCCACACAGGTTAACTCAATGTGTTTCTACGTCCACTTATATTAAGCTGCATGTGTCTCTACCTTCGTCGCTCATTCGTGTGTCTTGGCTAAATATATCTTTAGCTCCACATAAGTTAACTCCATGTGTTTCTAGTTACACCATTTGTATTTTCATGTCTCTTCAGCTTAATGTATCTGTATCTCAATTTGTCTGTTATTCATAACTCATATAACAATAGTCTTATTTATATCTTCCGTCCCGGCAACCCAAATCCTATGTATTAAAAAAGTATCACCAATACACTGAATGTGAATATTTTCTCTGGTAGCGGGCAGGGTTGATCACAGGTTTTAAGTGCCGCCCCACGTTCAGCTTTCTACTCTAATGAATGGAAATCTAACTTAAATCTGAACATTAAAGATGAAAGCGGCGAGTCTTTGAAAAAAAATCTGAATCTGGAATCCTTAAACCGTCTTAAAAGATAGTACTGTACTCTATTGTGATTCAAATTTGAAAGATTGTTTTGTGAAAGTTCGCTGGTCCTTAAGTGCAAAGCCTGTGAATTTAAAAAAAAATCTTAACCGAAGCTTAATCTAAAACCAGAATACAAGAATTTTAGTTTTATTTAAGAAGGGGATTTCTTTCATCTAAAAAATTTCAATAGACTCCTTAAAACACTGAAGAGGGTGCTATGTTTTTAATGGAATTTTTTTAGAAGCATTCTAAGGTTATCTCTTCCGTTTCATTGCATGTTCGCAGCAAGAATAGGGATCATAAAGGGGCTTAACTCTGTTAAGGGGAGTGAAGAAAAAGGCATTTAAAGTGACCCCCGCTCTTGACAATGATTGGACTTTGATCAACTTTCGGTGCTGAATAAATTTTTAAAAATTAAGAGTTAATCGATACTTGGGGTTTTGAAATAGATACTAATTCTATAAGAGATTTTACATAATGACTTACATTTATAATAGGAATATATAAAACTGAATTACAAATTAAGTGCAATTAGATTATTCAGACAATCCTTAAAGTTCTTAAATTGTGCATTCAGATTCCTCTCAAAATGTCTCGCGAGTTCTCCTTGTAGGGAGTTATAGCGAGAGTATCGCTGCCTGCAAAATGACGAAGTGTTCCTACATTTTCTGCACTTTAAAACTATTCAATTGTAACATAGGGGGTCGTCCATAAATGACGTCACACTCGTACGGTGGAGGGGGTGGGTCCGTATTTTTTGTGACGGTGTGTGATGAGGGGGAGGTGGAGGTTCAGATGGTGTGACATTACGCGTTTGCATTATATAAAAAAAGCAATGTTAGAAAACAAGTTTTAGCCGTTTTTTCGCGTTTTAGAAAACTGTTTTAATAAATTGTAATAGGAATTGATTAAAATACTCTATGTTGAAAGAGTTCAGACAGTATTTTGGAAAAATATCGATGTTTTAAGAAAAATTCAACTGCAATTTTGAGGGGGGTTGTAGGCTGGGGTGTTACGTCGTTTTCGGGGGGGGGGGGGGCGGGGTCTAGCTTTTTGTGGCGATATGTGATGGAGGGGGGTGGGGGGTAAAAATCGTCCAAAAAAGCGTGATGCCATATATGGATGACCCCATAAAGCAATTGGCCACTTCATTGGCTGATACTTTCTATTCAAATTCTGATTTATATTTAAAACAAAAAGTCCAGTTCTTATAACGGCTCATGTTGTAACAAATATCTGCATGGAAATAAATGGAATACTTATCCATATAGACTTAATGGTGTGACGAGAGGGGTCTTATACATGGACAACTTCTGGCTCTTCTCATCTTAACGCCTAGACATCTAATACAGAACTAATACAGAAAAAATAATTTTCAAACAGTTTTTTCTTCAGCTTTTTAAGTTCTTGATTTTTTTTCTGTAAGAACATAAAATATCTATAAAAGATTACGCCTAGACATCTAATACAGAACTAATACAGAAAAAATAATTTTCAAACAGTTTTTTCTTCAGCTTTTTAAGTTCTTGATTTTTTTTCTGTAAGAACATAAAATATCTATAAAAGATTACGCCTAGACATCTAATAAAGAACTAAATACAGAAAAAAATAATTTTCAAACAGTTTTTTCTTCAGCTTTTTAAGTTCTTGAATTTTTCTGTAACGACATAAAATATCTATAAAAGATGACGCCTAGACATCTAATACAGAAGCAATACAGAAAAAATAATTTTCAAACAATTTTTTCTTCAGCTTTTTAAGTTTTTGAATTTTTCTGTAACGACATAAAATATCTATAAAAGATTACGCTTACTTAGCATTGTGCAAATGTAGTAGAATTGCATGTATAACACAATGATGGGTGTAGAAAAATGATAGGTTTTAATGTAATGGCAGGCTAAACAGACTGGGTTTAACACAGTTATCGTTTTTTTAAACAATCGAAAGAACGTTGATGCCATACTCATAACCG